TTCTAGTTATTTTCTATACCTGTAGTACTGCCATAATCTATCATACCACAACTATTCACCATGGTCCGTAGGCAGAGCAAGAGGGGCAGATACATCAATGTAGTGATTTACATTGTTTCATTCTCATGTGCTCCGGGGGAAAAGATGAATTATTGTTACAAAAACAGAAATTGCTGGCGAAACTCAGGAGGTCTGGCAGCATCTGTGGGGAAAAAGCAGAGTTATTGTTTTGAGACCGTTAACTCTTCATCAGAACTTGAGTTCTCTTCATCACTCTTGCCTCTATCGTTCTTCACTTTGTAAAGAAGAGGCATATTGGAATTGAAACATTATTTTTATTTCTCTTTCCACAGATGCTACCAACGTAAAGGTTCTTCAGCAGTTTTTATGTTTGTTGTGGAATATCTTATTATGTCTGTATCAACCAAACAACACCATCGCGCGCAAGACATCCTTTCATCTGCTACAATATGTATCTTAAACTCAGTGTCAGAACAGCACCAGTGGCATGTGCATTTCCCTCTTTAGACATTTGGCTGACTGAGATCGCTAATCTGAACAAAATAGGCTCTATACAAATTCTCAGCAGTGATCAAATGTAATTGAAACCAGATATAAAAACAGAAAGTGCTGGAGAGAAAATCAGCAGGTTCAGTTTCTAACTAAACCAATTCCAAAGAAGAGTCATACCGGACTCGAAATGTTAACTCTACTTCTCTCTCCACGGATTGAGCCCGAGCTGCTGAGATTCTCCAGCACTTTGTTTTTATTTCAGACCTCCAGCAGCCACCGTGCTTTGTTTGTATTATTATTGCTGAAGTCCTCTGAGATTTCCTCCAGTTCCTAACTCTGCCCTCAGATCTTCTTCACTCACCGCCTCCGCTCCCATTCCCATCCTCTGTTCTTACCTTTAAAGTCTCCAACTGCCCTCCTGCATCCCATTCTGAACTTGCACTGAAGCCCTGGGCACCACCTAATGGCAGACGTTGGTTGGTGAAGGGAATTCCACTGCACCGGCCAGCTTCTGCCATTAGATGGAGCACAATCAATTAAAACTTCATCAGTTGAGTGTAATTTTAGAAACCAAAAGAACTGCGGATGCTGTAAATCAGGAACAAAAACAAAGTTGCTGGAAAAGCTCAGCAGGTCTGGCAGCATCTGTGAAGGAGAAAACAGAGTTAACGTTTCGGGTCCGGTGACCCTTCCTCAGAACTGGTGGTGGCTGGGAAAATGTCAGTTTATATGCAGAAAATAGGGAGGTGAGTGGGGTAGGGAGTAAACGATAGGATAGAGCCCGAAGAGAGAGAAAGACAGTTGGACAGACAAAGGAATTGCTAACGATCAGGCTGGGAGGGTGAATAGTTGTTAATTGGGACTGTTAGTGACTAACAACAGGGGCTGTGTAATGGCAGGCTATGTGGTAACAAAGCCTGGTGTGTGGAGTGGGGGACTGGGACAGGGGAGAGTTTAGGCCCTAAAATTATTGAACTTAATATTGAGTCCGAAGGGCTGTAGGGTCCCTAAGCGGAAAATGAGGTGTTGTTCCTTCAGCTTGCGTTGGGTTTCACTGGAACACTGTAGCAAGCCAGAGACAGAGATGTTGGCCAGGGAGCAGGGTGGTGCATTGAAGTGGTAGGCAACAGGTAGTTCGGGGTCTTAATTTTAGTATGTTTTCAAGTACAGTTGTTTCTGCTGTAATGCGATAGTTGCGTTCCTGCACAACATCACGTTATAGAAGATTGTGCTATAGAAATAACAGGGCTTATGGGAAAAGCAGGGTTGGGGCAGACCACCAAAAAATATCACTCAAAATTGCTCAAAAATCACTCAAAATCCTAACACAAAGGATAGCAGTTGAATAAATGTTTAATTCATATCTAATAATGAAATCAATGTAAATTTAACACCTTAACTTGAAACATTGTCAAGATGACTTGATTGGGGAGGAGGTTTTGAGGTTGCCCTGTTGTTGATGAAGGGGCTGGGGATCATCATCATCATCATCACCTTCAGGTCCAGTTGTGTTGCAGGGTTAGGGCAAACTATAGTTAATTCAGAAGTGGATGGCTGTGGTTCATTGTCTTCTGACTGTTTCTAGGGGGTTGGCTTAAAAAAACACATCCAGTTTTTGCTGCTTTGCCCTTTTTCTTCTTGCATGAAGAAGCTGTTCATAGGATGCTAAATAAGATCTTATTCCACAAAGTGCTACCCTGCTGCGTTCTGCATTGTAATCCTTGTCCTCTAAAAGCTGCAACTGCTTCTCAATTTCCCTCAAGATAGAAGACAAAACAGAAGTGAAAAGCTCTCGTGGTGCTGCATCCTGGACTTCCCCCTCAGCGACAAATTGTTGTCGATCAGCTACGGAGAGGTCTTCACAGTGGGACTCAAGCAGCTATTCAACATCCTCACTCTCCACTTCTTCAAGTCCAACTTGCTTTGCAAGATCAACACAATGTTCTTTGATTGTTGGGAGCTCCTCTGACGGATCAAAGCCTTTAAAATTTTGAAAAAAATATGGCTTCCACCGAGCTGCATGCAAGCAGTCCTTACTGACATCACCCCAGGCCTCCACAATAATGTCAATTACATCCCTGATGTTAAAGCTGTTCCAAAATTGAAGAACACTGTCCTTATTATCCCCCTCAGGGGCTGTAATCAGCCTCTTAAATGTGTGCCTTAAATAATAAGCTTTAAAAGCTGCTATTACACCCTGGCCAATGGGTTGAAGGAGAGAGGTTGTGTTTGGGGGGTAGAAAAATGCACTTTGGTGTTTTCAGAAAGATCACCAATCTTGGGAGGATGGCTTGGTGCATTATCCAGGATGAGGAGGGTCTTGCAATCCAAATTCTTTTTCTTGCAATAATTTCTAAAAACATCTTCCAAAGCATCAACAATAAGATCAGAAAAAATTTGCCCCGTCATCCAACCTCTTTTTTGCGTGACCTAAAGTAGGTGCCGAGAGTAGACCTAAAGTAACCTTTCAAGGCTCATGGGTTGGCAGAGTGTTACAATACCACAGGCTTAAGCTCTAAGTCTCCACTGGCATTGGCACCCAGCAGCACAGTCATACGATCCTTTGCCACCTTAAAGCCTGGAGCATGTGCTTCATTCATACAAATGTAGGTTCTTGATGACATTTGCTTCCAGTATAAACCTGTCTCATCTAAATTGAAAATTTGATCAAAGTTGTAACATTCTTCATCAATTTTTTTTTTGCAATGGGAGGAAATGCCATCGCATGCTCCTCGTCTGCACTGGCAGCTTTGCCACATAACTTTATGTTGTGGAAAGCATAGCAGTTCTTAAAACCAGCAAACCAGCCACTGCTAGCACTAAAGGCAGGGACATCTGCAGGATTTTCAGCTTTTTTTGTTAGATCTTCATAAATTGATAAGGCTTTCGCTTTCATGGTGAGAAGGGTGGTCCCAGATCGCATTTTTGTTTGATCTTCCATCCACACACTTAGAAGCCGCTCCATCTCGTCCAAGTTCTTTTGGTCGTGATTTCTCAGATTTCCTAGTACTCAGGCTTGTTCCAGCAATATAGCTTGCTTTAATCTTCTCTGCATTGTCTGTAATGGTGGGTAAGGTAGACTCCTTTATTCTGGTTACGCGAACTATATCACATGTTCTCTCATTTTGCTCAGTTCTGAGTAAGGGACACCGGACCAGAAACGTTAACTATGTTTTCCTTCACAGATGCTGCCAGACCTGCTAAGCTTTTCCAGCAATTTTGTTTTTGTTCCACTTTAAGCACAAGATCACTTTTTTGAATTTACACGCATCCCAGTATCTACCCTGGAGAAAATGTAGAATAAATAGTTTATTTTTAGTGCTATATAAATCTAAAACCAAATATATATAATTATTTATTTTTTCCTGTACTCACCAAAGCTCAGAGCCAGATATTTGATTGTATATTACCTGCCTTGAAATCTGGATTGCAGTTTAAGTATGCTAATCAAATATAGTTCATGAAATGGCTGTGAGGTGCATGCTATGCTTGGATTTAATTATCCTCATTTGGGAGAAAATGATCTCAGAGAAGCATGTGAAATCAAAGTAAGCTTTCATTTGAAAATCACAAGATAACAGGAGTGGATACTTTTCTCTGTTTGTGTCCCACACATCACTGTCCCTTATCGTTTTGCATAGTAATTGTCTTTGGAATCAACTCCACTTGTAAATCAAACATCTGATCGAACTCAATAGCCAACACACCAATGTCTACTTGAAGAAATGGATTTGAAACAAACACGAATATAAGTTCCACCACACATAATTTCTGAAAGTCTTTTGTTGCAGGTTTAGAAAAAAAAAGACTGTCAATCTTCCAAAAAGGCCTTCAGCACAACAACTTTCTTTGTCCGAAACATGCTCCTCAAGGGAAAGCTATCCTTGAATTAACTGTGCATCATTGTATGACATTGGTCCATATTCCCCTTTTTATTTATCAATGTACTTTGAACTCACTTTGGATTTGCCAACCAACATTTTAAATATTAATCTCCTAGACACTGCTGTGAGAAATCCACAAGAAAAGTCTACAGACATTAAAAATAAATAGCTTTGCACACTCCTGTTCTCCCATGCCTTGACTTTGGTTTATCTTCTGTGGTCAGGACCATTTAGATTTTGTGGCAGGCTCCAAGCAGTTTTGCATTGCAGCCAAGTCACGCATGGGTTGTGGTGTAACATTTGTTAATGGTGCTGACTGATGTGCAAGTAGACTTTGTGGTCAAATGTCAGAATTGCTAATGTATTAATAATGGGAGATCAATGTTTATTTTCCCAATAACCTAACATTTGCATTAGCCCACCAAACATGTTTTTGGTTGTGGTACCTGTTACATTTCCCACTCCCAGCTTCCAGAAACTGCAGGAAAGGCATTGGAAAGTCCATCTTCCAGTTTGCAAAATGTTACAGATCTCAGTATGTCAAAGTGCGCCTGCATCTCATTGCCATCACTTTTAACCTGATTTCTTTTCTCCCTCCCACAGGGCTTGAAATAGGTCCTCAACCTCAAGGGGTGGTCAAGGCAAATATTTTAGAAAACATGAGGAAGCTGGTTAATAGTGCCCTGGATTTTGCACATTTCTACAATGAAGGTAGGACTTGCTGAGCACCTGTATGTAACTCGAGCAGCATGATATTTTCCTTGTTCATCAGGATAATGACCTCCTTTAAATTGCAGATTACATAGTTTACAAATCTTTCACTCTCTGCCCTAGTGATCTTATATCTTGATAATTACTCAATCTTGAAAGAGCAGACTCACTTTGACAAAGTTGGCATTTTGCCCTTCCCAGTACCAGCAATAACTTTGTCCTTCAAAAGAGGAGCAGATTGATCATTAGCTGCAAATATTTGTTTGAAAAGAACTCAAAGCTACCAACGCTCATGAGTTTTGGGGTAATATATTTATTTATTGATGAAAGATTTGTTAAAGGACATTAAATAGAGAATAGGGTGTTGAGGGAATATTTCAGAATGCACAAAATAGGTAGAATCTAACAAGTAAGAAAATTTCCAAGAGGAGGACACACCATACATGGTTAACTAAAATAGTTAGTATGAAACTTAAATGAAAAGCATATTATTATGCAAAGATGGGAATTGGGTGAAAAGTCTGGACAGAATATTTTTAAAAATATAAAGAATGACTCAAGTTAATAAGGGAGGAAGAATTAGGCTATGGGTGGGACAACACAGTAGCTCAGTGATTAGCACTGCTGCCTCAGTGTTAGGTACCCAGGTTCAATTCCACACTTGGACAGTTGTTTGTGTGGAGTTTGCACGTTCTCCAAACATGGGTTTCTTCGGGGTGCTCCGGTTTCCTCCCACAGTCCAAAGATGTGCAGGTTAGTTGGATTGGGCATGGGAAATGCAGGGTTACAGGGATAGGATAGAGGGTGGGCCTAGGTGGGATACTCTTCAGAGGGTCGATGTGGACTCAGTGGGCTGAATGGTCTGCTTCCACACTGTAGGGATTCCATGATCCCCTATGAGAGAAAGCTAGCTAGAGATATAAAAACAGATAGTAAGAATTTGTGTAGATATTTAAAAGAGAGTTAACAATATGAACATTGTGGTCTTTTGGGAAATGAGTCTTAGAAATTAATAGTAGAAAATAATGAGATGACAGATGAATTGAACAGTATATGCATTGGTCTTTATTATAGAGTATGTGTGTAACATCCCAGAAATAGCTGTAAATCAGGATATGGAAAAGGGGGTGGAATTCAAGGAAATTACAATCAAGGGGTCAGCTATTTAGGGTAAAGCTAAGAAGAAATTGCTTTACTCAGAGATTTGGAAGTGCTTTTCAAATGTCCCAGTGATGTTAAAGGAACAATATAGTCTTTTTAAACAATCAATTTGAGAGTGACATTAGCTGAGAGTGCACATTGTGTCTCTGCACTGTCAATTGGAAAACAGGAAATAAAGTAGGACATCTAAAATGAAGAAAACTTAAATTAGAAGAAAATTACAAGATAAAAGCGTTGTTGCCTTTAAGTGAAAAATGCAGCACTTTAAACTTCTTGGAAAATAAAACTGTAGGAAATTTTGTCAGGGCCATTTTGTTTAAAGGTGACTCGGTATTAGTTTCACAAGTGAGTATATATTATTAAACTATTAAATCATTTCCTTGGGACAGCAGGAGGTGACTTTGTGTTCGGCAGTAGTGCAAAAAGGCTGATGGTGAACCTGAACCTGAACCTGATGTTGTTTCCTGCCCTGTACAATATTCTTTCCCATTGACTACAATTTTCCCTTCCCTGGAGGTGCTGAGGAAGGTAACAAGAAGGGGAAATAATTGGGAGACTTGCCCCTGATGAGATACTTCCCACCTTCTTTCCACCTCACTTATGCTGTTCTCAGCAACCTTTTTGTTCCATCCCTCAATGAGTGGTCACTTAAGGGTCTTGATTCATCAGCTCCCCTTCCTGTGGAGAGGGGGCAGAAATGGTGACTAGTTTCCCAACTGGAAAATCTGCCTGCTGGGCATTGGAGGTGGAGAATGACGTGTTGCCTGTTAGATCTTCATGAATTAGGTCAGATTTTCCCAGCAGTGGCTGTGGAGGTTAGTTGCCACCTAACACGCCTGCTCCTATAATTTTTTAAAAAATTAGAAAATCACACCCATTGATGGAAATGAAAATTGGGCAAAGTGTAACATTTACTGTCACTCATTTTGCATCACCTCCCAGGTGAAGTTCATCATATACAAAAATTGATTGTCCGTGTTTCTATTTGCTTGTTGACTCAATTCTTAAACAAATATCTGTCCAGTTGAATTTGAATAGTTATTTGCTGAATGATGGTGAAGACACCAGATGACTTTGGTTACCCTGATAGAATTACAGATGACATATTGTAATTCTTTATGCCTCAGGAGATTTAAGAGCTTGCTCACATAATACATATTTATATCTAGGTAAGGAATTTCCTCCATGCACCCTTGATGTTTACAGAGCTTTTGAGAAGGTCGATTACCCCAGGGATTCAGAAGGACAGATTATTGGTATCATTCATCCTCAGCTTCAAGTAAGCGTCATTTTTTTTGGACGTAGCGAGTTCCATTTGTCTTCATAAGCTTTCTCCGTGTATCTCATCTTCCTCACTTGGCAGCTGGGTTTGGTTCTTTGGGTTCCAGTCACTCACTGATACTTTGCCTAAATAGCCATTATTCATTCGTGGGACACGGAGTCAATATCAGCAAGTTATTTTATTCTTTGTGGGAGGGGAGGCATTACATATGGAAATAAATGCTGTCCTCAGCTAACATTCCACACAACAACTTGCAGTAGAGATAGCAAGAACTGCAGATGCTGGAGTCAGGGACAACACAGTGTGGAGCTGGAGGAACGCAGCAGGCCAGGCAGCATCAAAGGAGCAGGAAAGTTGACGTTTCGGATCAGGACCTTCTTCAGAAACGTCACCTTTCCCGCTCCTCTGATGCTGCCTGGCCTGCTGTGTTCCTCCATCTCCACACTTTGTTATACTTGCATTAGAAGTTGTTTATAAAGTAAAAACGGGCAAATACCATTGTCAATATTTCTTCTTTCTAACACCTTGGCATCTCCCAATGGTATTCTTGCTGAGATAAACAGACCAGAGATTGAACAAAGGTGCTTTCTAATCATCGGGGTTTCAACTGTTCACTGCATTCATTCTCTTAATGCTAAGGGTAACTAAGACTTTGTGTGGTGGGTACGCTGAGAGGGGTTGACCTAGAACAGAGAAACTGCATGACAGATTAGGATTGCAATTCTGAAACTGACTCTGAAAAACGTTGCTACGAACAGCAAAAGGATATTAACTGTCCATCTAATCATGCTATGCCTGACTCAGGAATGTGTGCTGCTAACTTAAATCATAAAAGTTTGCAAATAACAGTGTCAGTCATGATGTACTCAAGAGTCTGCATGTACTGCACATCTCTTGAAGTTATTCAATCCTTTGACTCTACAGGACAATGACTGGAAACAACTGAAACCAGGTGATCCTTCATTCCTGACCCTGGGGGGAAAGACCATCCCTTACAATGGAAGCAGTGCTGTGTATCCAGTGTTTGTGAATGAAGCTGCTTATTATGAGAAAGAGTCAGCTTTTCTCTTAACTGAGAAAATAACTCTGAAGGCAAACAGTATGAAGGTTTCAAAAACTTAATCTAATGGATTCTCCAGGACATCTTAACTGCTGTTTATCAGACCAAAGACTAATTTCATCAACACTATGCATTGTAAGAGAACATGCATTGCTACTTTTAATTATTTTCTTCTCTTTCTATTTGAAAAAAAGGTGAATGTTTACTAGTGCAACCAGTCTATTTTGAGTAGGCAGCATCTCATTTGAATCACTGTCAGCTGATGAGAGCCACAGCTTGTAGGAAAAGGTAACATTCATTTCCCAAACACTGTGAAAAAAAGGAGCATTTAGCTGTGGCAAGAATTCCTATCCATCTGAGAATGTGGAAAAGCTTGTTCTTTGAGCAGTTATTGCCGCCTACCTTTGGTATAGGCAATTACAAAGTCATCAACATGAAAATGGGGTGCTAAGATTTTCATTAGTCAATTATTTTTAATTGGGAGTTAGTTTTCCCCTTATTCGCCAAGCACTATCAAAATATAAATGGGGACTAATTTGCAACTAATACCAGGGAAGGACTAAACTTACATTTATAACAGTGCAGGGTTAATTTTTTCAGAGATAGTAGGAACTGCAGATGCTGGAGAATCCGAGACAACAAGGTTCAGGGCTGGATGAACACAGCAGGCCAAGCAGCATCATAGGAGCAGAGAGGCTGACGTTTCGGGCCTAGACCCTTCATCAGAAAAGGGGGAGGGGAAGGGGGTTTTGAAATAAATAGGGAGAGAGTGGGAGGCAGATAGAAGAGGGATAGAGGAGAGGAAACAAACAGGTCGAAGAGGCGGGGATGGAGCCAGTAAAGGTGAGTGTAGGTAGGGAGTTAGGAAGGG